AGGAGTCGTGGCGGCGACGATGATATCGCGCCCGCTAATTGCCGGTATGGCGCGTAACCGGGTGCAATTAGCTTGTCCAGGGATGGTAAAATGCAAATCCCCCGTGACAAGGCGCTTCCGCGTAGACCTTCCATTTCCACTTCCGGCCCGGCGTGTCGTTTCCCCGTTTCCGCGGTACCCACTGCCGAATCGTATATACCACGCTCGTTACGAGGTAATCACACGCTCGCGGATCACCTCTCCGGACATTCCGTGATATACTGGATGCAGATATCATCATGCGATGCCGTGCGACGCAAAGGGGAGAAACAGATTTCAGGTAATTACGTATGCCCCCCCCGAGCCACTGTCCTCCGTTCCTTCCAACGATTCCTCCAATTATTCCATCGACCCGTGGGGGGTTAAAAACACCCCTTCCCCATTACCGCCTTCAGGTGCGAGGGGGTCGCTAATTGCTCGAGATGATTCCCCGGTACCCCTTTTTCCCCCTTCTCCCCTGGGAGTCGGAGGAGCGTCGCGCTCGCGGGTATAATCGTAACGCGGCGCATACAAACGGGCGCTAATGGCGCGGATGGCTTTTGTTGTTTTTAATTAACCCTTTCTTTCAAGACGGTCGGCGGGGGAGCGGTAAAACGCGCGAGCGAAAGGGGCGAGCTCGGCCACCCTCTCTCCGTCGTCGCTGCCATCCGGGGTTCCTTCGACGAGGCGGGACCTCCTCCCGAGGGGGATGTAAAATACCCCGGGAATCGCCCCGCGGAGACGACCTCCAATTAACGAATCGCCCAATTATCGCGATTCATCCGGACAACTTTCAGACTGCGGAAACTCCCCGGTGGGAGACGCCTCGGCGTCGGGGCTTTGTCGCGGTCGCGGCGTTGTCAATCACCGGTGATACCAGAGCGACGCGTTAATCTTCGCGGGACCCCCGCGACCGCAGAAGAGACGCTGCGGTTTGGCCGGACCTTGCGACTCGGGACGAGGTAAGGCGAGGTCCTACCGTTCTAGACGCCCTCCCATTTCGACCCGGTAGAAAATCCAGAGGAAAATCGGAATTTTCCTGGATTTCCCGGTCGGTCCGACGTAATGTCGAAGATAAGAGGTATCGTCGGTGATTCCCAGGGTTCCAGGTGAACGGTCCAGGTGGGTCGCTCCTCGGGTGTAACCGAGGCCGAGATCGGGCCACCCGGTCGCAGATCGCGGCGCGATAGCCGCATTATTTAATTATCCTGAATAATTACCGATTATTACGGCTGGCCCTCGTACCGATCGGCTGTCCGCCATTAATTACTCCGTAGGACCGGACGAAACGTTCATTACGGAGCACTCTTTAATCGAGGCGTTCTCGCGTGCGTCCTGGCGGCCGCGCAGCCTCCGAAATGGCGGTCCAGGACCCGGAGCCGACGGGGGGCTTCCGCGCTCGTGCGCCTCCGCGTACCGGGAATTAATCACGAAACGATCGTACGCACTATCGCCGCGAGTGCCTCCCGTATAAATATAATAACCTCTCATCCATCCAGCCCGCTAATAGATTCCCGCAGGACACGCGCTATCTCGAGATAAATGCCTCCCCCACCAGGGACACCGTTCGTCATCTCCGAAATTCGTGACCTCGTAGGATCGGCCGCCTGATAGGGACGAGAGGGATGTGCCCGAGGGATGGACGGGGACAAGGGTGGGACCGAGGGTAAGTCGTGGAGAAATAAATATTAAAGGAATTAATCGAACCTCAAGTTTCTCTTACGCCCATCCGCCCTCGATATGTGCATAAAGAAAAATAAGAAAAAGAAGAAGAAGGAAAACAATTGGGATGACCAGTCTAGGAGATTATGGCAACCAGGGTAATTTGGTAAAAGGAAGAAAGGATGTAAAGAGGTTACGATAGGCGCGGTAAAACAACTCGTTCCCTGTAATTACCTTGACTAAATGGCGAAGTACCCCTTGCCAAGTCACGGTGGTTATCGCAATTGTCTACCCGGGTTGTCCCAAAATGGCTACGGTTACAATTGTGGTTTTCGTGATTGTTTGTTTTTTTTTTTATCGCTTATGTACGGGACGGGAGGTGGAGGCCAAGTTGCTGGAGTCGTGAAAGAACGGACCCATCGCCGAGGTGGCAGTCGGAATCTCTCTCTCTCCGGTTCTGTTCGGAGTAATTCGTCCCGTTCGGTCTTCTCGCCTCCGGGGGCGAAGCCCATCCTCCGGGAGAGTTTCGTAATCCGGAGGAGCCAAGACGCGTGACAAATAACGGCGGAATAAGGCCGGAGCGGAGATCGAGCTTCCTTCGAACGGCACATTAATCCGCACCGGACGTCCGCATCAATATTTAAGCGTAATCGGAAGAATTGCCGGATCCCCCAAGGCCTCCCCGAAATCTAAGCAAATGGACCGTCTTGTCGCGTGGGTAAATTACCAGCTGCCGGTAGGAAGACGTAACGAGGTAATCGAGAATTCCCCATTTACTTTCCGGACCTCCGGAGTGATATCGCACCTCGCGGTTAAAACCGCGCGGCGAGTAAACGCGCGATGTTTGTTCCCGCATACCGACGCTTTCACGACAAATGCGACACTAAAAGCGGCGCATACGCGATCTCGGTTTGGTTAAACACCGGCGCGGTGACGCGACGCGTCGTAAAGCGCCGCGGCGCCTGCCTGTTTACATCGCGACGCGGCCCACCAACGCCGACGCGGCCCAAGCCGCGCCTGATCTTCCCGACTCTCTATTTGCGGCACCCGCTGGAATAACAATTAACGGGGAAAGAAGGGGGATGCCGACATACGCCCGGGTACAATGTACCGACCGACCCACAAGGAGGATTTCCGCAAAGCATAAAATTGATAATTCATCGATCCCTCGATATCCCGACCCATCCGCGGACACCGGGCGGATCTCGCGCGACCGTACACGAGATTTCCATTTGGGAACTTCCTCTCGCTCTTTAAGAAGTCCTTAATAAGGCGAGCCAAGATAAATTGATACATTAGCATCGGAGGGATGATTCATAGAGGAGAGCCGATACGCGAGAGGGGTGCGACGTCACGGAGAGAGGGTGGACATGACGTATCGCCATTAGCATTGGTTTCGTATCAGAACAAATAGGGCCGGTGTTTTAAAGCCAGAAGGGCGAGCGGGTCCCCGCAAGGGGGCGATTGGTCTTTTCCGTTGGATCCGCCGCGCCCATTGGCCCTGCCGGCCGATCCAGGGGAAAGGGGTTGGAGGAGCCGCGCGGCGCCGTAATTTACAGTTTGTAGGCGCCTTTATTAACGCCCCGCGGGTTCTACGGCCGCGGGAGCGGGGGTGGTAAGTGTCACTTTTAAGTTACGCCGTCGGCGTGATTTATCGCCGGGCCTTGTCGGTCCGAAAGGAGGAAGAAGAAGAGGGGGAGGAACCCTTCCCCCGGCGACGCGCGATGTCTTCTTCGGCCAGGGGCGAGCGCGTCGATTCCGCTCTTACAGCTGCCGCGGCCGAAGAGTTGCAGATGCACGGGCAGATGGTGGAAGCGGTTCGACCCCGTCATCCTTGGGACGCCTTCCGACGGGCTCTCTTTCTCTCTCACCTTCCCTCCTCAGTTTCTAATTCCACTTCCCGGACGACTTCGACGGGTCTCGATGTCATTAAACTGCCCGATATCTCGCCACGAGGGGCCCAAAGGGGTGCGATCGCTCGTTGCCGCCCCGAGGACCAAAAAAAAAAATGTAAAAAAAATGCGTGTAGGAAATAAAATGGAGACCGACGTCCCGCTGCGAACCCGGGGGACTTGGACTCCCGATTTCGCTCCCAGGATCGTTATAGGCATCTCCGCGGACGTCATCGCTCATGCTCCGTGTCATCGGACACGGGGAAACGCTCGGGCCGAGAGGAGACGCGCTCGTGTACGGCGACTCGACATTATAAATAAAGCATCCCGAAGTAAGGAGGGACGAGAAATAGAGAGGAGAGAGAGAGGGACCTCGGCGGCTGACACAACGGGCAAATGAAAAATGCCGAGACGGACGATCAATGTAAATATATTCATGACGTGGGGTAGATGGGTGGTTAGGGGCCAGATATATGGGGTTCATAGGACGGGGCTTGTTGAGGACCCGATGGCACTTGGACGGCACATAATTCACCGTTTGGCAGCTCATTACAATTTAAAAAGGCCTTTGTCAGTGTATTACTCGTGATTTCTCGGCCTATCGTGTGCGTCCCTCTCTCCCCCTCCCTCCGGCTGATTTCGATACGTCACCTGACGCGTCCAGAAACTGTATCTGCGTTCGTAACGTCTGCAAAAGGGGCGTTCGAGTCCATTCTGGGACATTTTACCCCCTTTCCTTACCCCCCGTGGATACGCGGACGAGTACGTATGGGCGTCTACCTCCCTTCCGCGGGGAAGAAAAGGAACGCGGCGTCGCCGCAGCCGGTCGGAAAATCCCTAGGGACCCTAGGGTAAAATTGATATGTATTCCGTGCCACGCCGCGTCCAATCTATCGCGGGTCAAGCAGGCGGAATTTTAAGCGCGATACCGTACGGAGCCGTATATCTCGTATCACGCCGCGACGCGCATGTAAGCGTACGTGTCGGTACACCTGCGAGGGCCGGTGTACCTTCCGCGTATATCGGTACGTATCGACGTGTATCGGTATACACGACCCCCCACACACCGGAAGAGGGGGTGTACACCGACGTAATCGCGCGTATCGACGTATCCGAACGGTTTCGAGCCCCCCAAACCTCGAGGAAGCGGCGATACATCGCATAAAGTCCGAGTATACTCGGGGCTGACCACTCGGGGGGTTGTGGGGGCGCGGAGGGTGGACCGCGATGCGGTCATCGGCTCTAAGGGATGGTCACCGGTCATCGCTGGAAAATTGAATTTCCTCCCTGGGGAATAGCGCGGGACATCCGCGGAATTTTCTCCACGGAGATAATGCCGGGCCTTCGATCTACCCTTGCTTTGCATCCCCCTGACATCCCCCGATAGTAAATCCTTTAATCATTCCGCCATTGGCGCAAATCACTCACCGTGATGTACCCAGCCGTGGTGGCACTTTCCACAGTACCGCAGGTGTCGCTTCCCGGGGGTGAAGGAGTCGCAGGAGCATCCGTTGGCCGTGCATCGGATGGACTGTCGAGCAGAAGAATTCTTATTACCCCTTTATATATAGAACGAGAGGGAAGATCCGAGGAGGCAGTTAGTCGACTTTAAATTTAATCTAGGAATGTCGAGAAAACGTTTTGGGCAATTTCTCGTAAATCCCGAGGAGAAACGAGAATTCTCCTCCCCCGCTAGGAATATACGGCGAGGTAGGGGATTGGACCCGGCGCGGGTTAAAGGAGATCCTAGCCGGAGGCGCCGGGGGTGGTGGTGGTATTTTGAGTGACCGTTTGGCATAACGCCACCCGAGAGGGTTTCTAAGAGACGGAGGGGTTGTCGGATTTTAAGGAACCGTGAATATTTCCACCCTTCGGCCGAAAATTAACCCCTGGGGAGCCTCCGCCCCCTGCGTCCCGAAAAACCTCCTCGCGGGGTCGACGTCATTTTATGGCCGCGGAAGGGAACTTTATCCTCCGAGGCCGCGTCCACCGTTCGTCCTATTAACTCGGCCACTCCGTCACTGACAATCCCGACGTGGACTTCGAGAGGAAGGGTAGCTGGACATTTTTTTCCTCCCGTGGTAGAGGAAGACGCCTCGGAAGGTACGACTATGGTCTACCCGAGACAATATCGCCGCTCTTTTTTCGGGAGAAATTGGCCCCTCTCCATCTCGCCGACTCCGAAGGCGAATATCCTTGGAGGGGTTGTTATGGCACCTACGGCGGCGCATGGCGGTGTTAATATAAAGACAAATGAACCGACGCGTACGCGACCCCCGGCCATGTGTCTTTATATAGACAGGGCACCGTGCCACCGCGGCGACTTCGCCGGGGAATCTTCTGTCCCCCCGAAAATGGGTACCCCCGAGATCGGGGCGCGACAACATTTCTCAGGCCCCGAGTTTTATTAGGCTCGCGGCGGGTTACTTATTTCGAATAACCCTGGGAATTACAGAGCGACATAAACCCGCCACCTGCAGGCGCGCGGATCCGCGCAGACTCGCGACTACTCGCGGGGCGTCGCATCCCCCGCAACGACGACGCACAGCGACGATAAGCGTCGCTAATTCGACCGATTTAACCCTAAGCCGCGGAAAAAAATCTTAAAAATGGTCATTTAAACATTTTCGAGGTTCTGGAAGACCCTGAATTTCTCTAACGTCGGAGAACCCATTAGAGTCGAAAAATCGAAATTTCCAGGATTTCGGAATTTCTTTATTTTTTGAACACTTCTGGTTTTTGTGAGAAAATGTCACAAACGAAATTCAATATGACGGAAAGGTCTACATCAAGGAAACATTTCGATAAGGCTGTTCATTTTGTTCGTGCCTCAAACTGGATTCTAGGTTCATCCAGCCCCTCGACTTCGATCCGGGTCTCCTCTTTTTCCCTCCTAATTTGGTTTACTCTTCTCCCGGGCCGGAAACACCGCATGGCGCGTCAGCCGGGACCGTGAACGACGTCGTTACGGATACGCAAGGTGCGCCCGAGCCGCGGAAAATGCGTTAACGCGTTTGCGTAGGGCGCGTGGCGTTACACGCACTTTCCATTGTTGGGTTTCGACGCGCTTCCCGATATTGCCGTAACCTCCAAGTACCGTGGAATTCCGAGTTTTTTGCCTCGAGGGAACCTTCGCCAAAGGTAGCCCCGCCGGTCGTTCGCGGGGCCCTCGAAATAATCGGGGCCCCTCCGGCGCCACGTCGCTCCTCGTGCATACTTCCGTTCGAAAGAATCCGGATAGAATGTTAATGTCATTGCGAATTTAGTCCCCTGCAAATGGAATCAACGTGATCAAGCCGCCTCGTCCCGGGCGAGCGGCCGAGTTGCCAGGATTTTGGTTTCCACCCCTTCATTCCACGCGGGGTTGCACGCATAAGCCGGCTGCGTTTAAAGCACCCTTCACACCGTACAACAAAAGATTTCCTAAAAACTCGAGCAAAGAGAACCTCGCAAATGAAAGCAACCCCGATAAATCGGAGATCTCTTACCCAGGAGTAAAAGTGATCCGCAACCCTTATCAAGCTTGATACCAACCCCGTTGGTACCCTGTCGGATGAGCTGCGATTTCTTCGCCTCGCGAGAAAACGTCATACGTAATCAGGAATATCAGGTTAACCGAGACTTCTGGTAAGGGCTCTTTCCGCCCAGATTTCCCGTTTCCGTTGTGGAAACCGCATTACGATCGGCGTTAGGCCGAGCCCGGGCGCGTTTAATGAACGCCCCGCTAATCTCCGAATTCGCAAATGCAACGCTAACAGCGTATACCTACGCGTTCATCGTGGCAAATTGATTTGGCCGCCTCCCGAATTAAACCTCAAGTATAAAGCTGGCCGCGTCGACGAGGGACGAGAGCCTATTAATGAGTCGGAGGATTTGATTTCGGCCGGTCCGAGTCCGCGCCACCCCCGCGATATCAGCCCCCGAAATCGCAGAATCCGTCGCTGGTCGATCCGGCCGCAAGCGGAGGATCCGCCACCGGCAAAGGGATTCCCGGCGATCGGAAAGGAAGATTAATCGCGCGTAATCGAAAAGCCACCCGAGGGGAGGGCCGCCCCGATCTCCGTTAATCACGTTCGCGTCACTTCCGAGGATCTCTCTAAGGGTTGAAGTGGCCGCGAAGAAACGGACGCCGATTAAGGGAACCCTTTGACTCGGGTTAGACGCCCCGTCCATGGATTTCGGCGACCTCGAAAACCTAGGGAGTCCCCCCCTTATAGGGGATGAAGCCGTCCGGAGCATTAGCGGATCGATTTTTACAAGCCAGGCCCCGTAAACGTGGGGCGTTGATTTATTTTTTGGCGGCCTCCTCGGCGGAGGCGTCGCGCGCTCGCCGGCTGTCGGGGAAATAAACGAAATGCTAACAGCCACCCGTAAAGCGCTCTTTAACATATTGTCGCGACCACAATGGCAATTTGCGTGATATATCTGCCCATTACCGGAGCGCGTTCAAATGTAGCGGAATTAACTCGTCCCCCGTATATACGGGATATATGTAGGTATATATACGGGAGTAAGGAGTGGCACGCGCGACCAACTCCGCAGTGCAAACGTTACATGCGCATGGAAAGTCAAGGGACGAGGGTGAATGAGAGAAAAGGATTGTAAAAATGTATATAAATGTATGTAAAAGAAAAAAAGAAGAAAAAGATACGAAACGCGGTAGAAAAAGGCGAAGGACTAGAAGAGAAGCACGAGGGAGGGAGGAAAGAGGACGAGCGAAGAAAAGCGGAGCCGGCGATAACGCGCCGATTCCGTCGGCATAACCGCGCGCGAGGGGAAAGGGAGGTCCTAGGGGCGAGCGATAAATATAACGCGGCGACAAAATATCGCCGAGAGGAAAAGGTTCAGAAGAGAGAGGGGGGAGGAGGGGGCTGACGTACGACACCCCCAGGACCACTAAGTCATGCCTTATGCTAACCTAACCTCGACCGGCGATGAAATAATATCGGCGAGATCGCCGGGTCACCGTCGCCGGCTCGCCGGCGTTCCGCTCCCCGCCGCTCTCGGCCCTTTAATATATACCGTGTCTTAAGGCCCCGAGATAATTTTAATAACTCCTTCGGCCATTTTAATTAAGCCTCGCGCGCCCACCGACACGCCGGACGGCGGACCGAGAGGGTGGCGGCGCGGCCAAAGAATTCGAGGCGCAAAGAGAGATCACTCGTCGAGGGGGTCCGGCGACCTCGGGAAGCGGTCTCGGGGGGTCCCCTCAATTATTTAGGGAAATCGTAAAAACGTCGGCGATCCTCCGCTCCGGCAAGGAGGCGTCCTTTTGGCGCCACCCTCCGGAGAACCTGGGGCGGGGGTGGCTCGGGAGGGTTTTTTTCAAATCTCATTATCGCCCGCTCGGCACGTGAAAAATAACCGGGGATTAGTCGGGGGAGAGGGATCCGGGGGTAGGCCGTAATCCCGGGGGTTGCCTCTTAACCCGTAAAAGCGCCGGTTGCCCCGCGACGGTCCGGCCACGCGTCGCGGATGGCTCCTAATGCCATTGGAAAAAACAATATGGACGGTTAACGCCGCGGCACCGCCACGGGATATCACCCCATAAAATGTAATAACCCGCGCGGAATTTTCCCCGCACCCTGACCGGCCGCCAACCTCGGTGGGACGTTTTTTTCTACCTCAACCCTTTCCCTAGCGCCCCTCGAGACTAGGCCCCCCTCACGTGGTCGGCAAGGACAATTACGGAGTTTTCTCGTTAGTCTCTTAATAATTGCCGGGCGAATTGAATTTCACGCACGAGGTCGGGTTCCCTTGGTCCCCTCCCCGCGAATCGCGGGCACGACGGTCGGATGACCGGGCCCGCTAATGGAGCGTATTTTGATCCATCGTCCGATTCATCGGCAATTTCCGATTGGTCGCCCGGCCGCGCTATCGATCGGCATTGTCTAGGGAGGGCTGCGCGCACGATAGAGCACGCCGAGGGCTGACTTTTCATTCCTCGTGACGGCCACACCTTGCCAGGGCCGCCTCGTCGATCCTTAAACGAAAATGAATCGTAATGGCGCACCGGGTGGGACCCGGGGGCCCCTGGCGTGCCGCGTATCCAGGCCGAACCCCGGCCACGACACTCGGGGGCCACACTTCGCCAAATGAAGTGACACACGCGAGCGCGGCCCCGATTTGCATTCGCTAAGGAAACCGCGGCCAGGGGGGTCGAACGTCGTCGTTATATCCCGGCCTGATGGCTTCCTGGCACGGGACAGCCTTCCGAGTAATGCTTAAGAGGGGTGGAACCCGAACCGATCGAACCCTCCGAACTTGGTCTGCGGAGTCGCGAGCCCGGATTTCAGGGCGACCTCCTTGGCACTCCAAAAAGGTGGCAGCGACCCCTCGTCCATCCGTGGAAATAAAGGAAGGCGCGTACCCCGTTTCGTATACCTAGGGGTTCGTCAGGCGGTTTCCTCGAGGATCAATCCGGGATTCGGACGTCCTCGAGCCAGGTCCAGGGTGGAAATTCGTCTCCTTCGAGCCTCCGCAAAGCCCTTCGTGACGCATGGACGTCGCGGACTGACCGTCCCGGAGGCA